GGGTACGTTTGCCTCCCGGTTGCCCTCCTCATTGCACGGGGCAGTCTTGCAAACAGGCAAGAAGAAAGGGATGGGTTGGAGAGGGATCATGGAAGAAAGAAAAGAGAGGAGGGATAGGGGGACATGAAAGTGGAGGAGGAGGAGGAAACATGTGGGAGTGTTCGGGCGAGTAAGAGATCCCAGAGATATGTCCAAGAGGCATCGTGATATGCACCCGTTGGATTGTGATGTTGCCCGCTCCGCGTCATCACCTGAGCCCGAGAAGCGAGCGCGCATGGTTCTGCAGATTCAGGAAGGGTTTCTCGTATCGCCGTTCCACGGACCAACGCAGGCTTGCAGCTGGTCGCATGTTAATGAAGGCGTGGCGACGTGGTTTTGCACCACCTAGCTGACACCACAGAGCTTACACAATATAGCTTGCAGCACATATATCCCCAAGCCGAAGGTTGTTCTTCTTGCGCGAAAATGCTCGGATCTAGGTGGATCCCAGTACTGGTGTGCGGCCAGAGTCACGTTGATCCTAGGTGTCGGTCGCTTGGATACAAGTGTTTGGCGTGGAAAACTCGTGGATCTAACTCTGCCCGTGGAGTGGGTATTACGGAGGACCCACACGGGTAATTGATTCCACAGAGCTTTGGAGGTCCAGGCCAATGGTAGGATCATGCGGAGAAGAGGTGGCTAGGACACAACAGCATGCATCTGTTATGCATGTGCCTGTCGCTAGCTTCTTGGGCTCCAGTGCGACGTTCGTAGTGTGTGCGCGTGCGCACATTCGAAGGTACATGCTTGCATGTATAGATCGAGTCCGCTGGATGTTTTTTCGCACATCGTTGATCAGCCCTGCCCCGCCTCGACATATCTGTACTCGTCTTGGCTCAAGATCACCTCACTGTGACTTGTTGTGGCATGACGGCGGGCTTCAGATACCATTCGCCTTGTCTCCTGTTTTCTTCTGCATCTGTCTCGCTGCTGGCCTCGCTTGCGGCGTACTGGACCTCGTCTGTTTGGTACTTGGGAGTCCGCCGCGGGCCCGAAGTGCTCGACTGCTTGACGACTGTCGGGGGCCACAGGTTCCAGGCGATCGGCACCGCCGCCCGAGTGGGCGGAACCTGGGCCTGGCAAGGGCTGCAGGCGCTCGGGCTGCTCTCGAGCTCGTCGACCTCGTCGGCCTGGCGGCATCGCGGCAGCGGCTGTGGGCGCCTCGGCCCGCGGGGCCTGGCGCCGCGCGGCTCGGTGCGCTGTGCAGGTGCAGCTCCGACGTTGGCCGCGGCGTGCTGCGCGCGATCTTCGGCAGGAGCTCGCATGCACATCGACCCTCCTGGAGACCGGACTGGCGGAGATGGCGCCGGCAGGCGGCGAGCCCATCGGGGCCGCGGCTCCGGCCGGGGTCCTCCTCCGCCGCAGCGGCGACCGGGGCGGGTTGCCCGTGTTCGGCCGGGTGCCCAGCACGGACCTACGCCCCCGCCCTGACCACCGAGGCGACGGGCGCGGGCCTCGTGCGGGCGCTGGCGCGGCTGCGGGCGCTGGCGCGGCTGCTCCTGGGGCAATTCCGAGCCGCCTCGCGCCGCCCAGCAGTGGGGCCCGAGCCAGCTGGAGCTGACAGCGCCCTACCAAGAGGCCAGCGGGATCGCGGCGGCCTTCGCCGCGAACGCCCTCGTTCCTGCGCGGGCTCGCGAAGCGGGGCTGCAGGTTGCCGTGCTGCCGGTCTGCATGCCTCTTGGAGGGGCCGCGCCGCCGGCGTTGGCGCTGCCCGCCGCGCCACCGCCTGTGGCACAAGGAGCTCTGGTTGCAGTGCCAGGCGCGGGCCCGGCGCCGCCCGCGGCTGCCGCGGGGATGGGCTGGCCCAGCCTCGGCGTTGGACCTGGCTTCGATGTCGAGCGGGGTCCGCGCGCTGCAGAGCTAGCGCGCAGCTCCAGGGTCCACGTACGTGAAGAATAAAACGGATAAGAAGAACAAGGGGAAATAAAGACAAGATAATCAACGCCCGTTTCTGGCTCGGGTTAGTCAAGCGGCAGGTCCAGTTCCAGGAGCAGCAGCGTCAGTTGGATGTGGCCCCAGTTGTCCTTGGCCAGCGCGAGCCTCGCCGAGCTGCGGGGCCAGCGCGAGGTGCTGACGCTCGCGCTCGCCATGGGCCGGATCCACACCCAGGACCTCGCGACGGCGATCAACACGGCGACGGCGGTGGCACCAGAAGGCCAAGACCCAGGGCTGGCCCCCGTAGACGGCGGAGTGCGTGGAGCTGCTGACCAGTACGGGGAGGGTGGTTGCAGCAGGCGGCCCCCTTGGGCTCACTTCCGAGCGCGGTGGAGGAGGGCGCGGCAGCGGCGGGTGCGCTGGGGCGGCCATGATGCGTCTCTGGCCTCAGTGGTGGTTGGCCGTGGGGAATGGCTGAGTGCGGCAGACGGCCCCCTGGGAACAACTCTTCGCGGTGGGCACCTCGGCCGACCGCGTGTCGTGGAGTTCGGGAAGTCGACGCCAGTGGTTTCCCCTGTGCCCCTGCAGTGGCGCCATGGTGCGGAGCTTGCAAAGAGTGGGCGCAAGCAGCGGGGCGCAGCTTTAGCATGGGACAACGTGGCCATCGCGCCGCTGAGCTGGCTTTACGGGGCCGAGGGCGTCAACGAGCGCCGCCGCAAGTGCAGCGGCGCGTGCAGGGGCACGCGCTGCAGGGCGTCTCCCGCGCTCTTGAGGCCCAGCTGGCTTGGCCCGAGGCAGAGTCAATTAAAGAGCTCCTTCTGCACGCCGACGGCCGCGGGCCGATGAAGTTCGTCGCGGAGCCCCACCGTCAGCGCGGGGGAGTTCCCGCGCGCGCTGCCGTTGCCGACTTGGTTGGCGCGCTGGACGGACACTTCCGCGCTCTTGCTGATCAGGCTCGTCATCCGCCGTCACTGCCACTTGATGTGGACTAGCGGCCTGCCGCGCTCAAGAGACCGCGCGCGCTGGTGGATGCCACTCATCCTCGCGCGGCTGCCCGCAACGTCGCGGCAGGGCCCCAGGCGTGCGGCTCCAAGGAGAGAGCCCGCAAACACAATGGGGCGCCCCGCGTCGCAGGGGCATTCGGCGTCAGGAAGTCCGAGAGAGTCAGCGCGCGATCTCCAGCCCCCCCGCCAATCAGCTCCTGGGGCCCGCCGAGGTGCCGCGCCCCGCCTGCGCCGACCCGCCGAGGCTGCGCGCGACGATGATGCTGCCAGGGGCGCGGGCAAAATTGCGGAAGCGGGGCTTTTGGCACGACTCTCGCCAGCTTGGCGCCGGGAAGGCGTGGCACAAGTATTTGGCGCGCCCTTTTGCGCCAGACCCGCGCGGGCGCGGCGGGGTGGTCTACCCGATGCGCCGCCCGGCGCCCATGGGTTTGGAGGCCACGCGGGAGCTTCGTTACCACCCTGTTGGCTCGTGACCCTCCACAGCCGCGCGAGGCTCTGGCTCGCTCGGCGGTCGACGCCCCCCCGACAACGCGCGGTAGGATGCGATGGCCGACGATCTTGGCAGGGGGCGCGGGCGCATCATTACATTCTCCATAAGCGCCTTCTGGCCTATCAGGATGCAGGTTTTCACAGACACCCCCGGCGAGCTCAGCTCTGACGTGATGGACCCAGGCATCGAGCGCGTCTACGAGATGTTCGAAAAGTCTGGCGGTGTCGAGGGGTTCGGCGCCGCCGCCATCCGTGCTGGCGGCATTCGCGAAGTCGGACCCGCGCCATCACGACCATGCGGCTTGGAAGGCTTTGGACGCCTGGCGATCGAGTCGACCGCCATTGCAGGCGCATGCGGTGCCGGCGGTGCTCGCCTTCGTCATCGTGAACTGGCTCGCGCTGGCTGGGGAGAGCGGCTGTGCGGCTGCTGTGTTGGAGGCGCCAGCGCTGGACTGGGTCTCGTGGATCCAGGCCCCATCGGGCTTCGCGGCGCAGTTGGGGCGCTCGAGGCGCGATCTAGAGCAGAAGGTCGTATTCAATGAGCCTTCGACCGTGTCTTGGTTTCAGCACTAGTGCGAGGTGACAAGCTCTGGTGAGTATCGCACCTTCGAATGCAGCGGTGGTTGCAGAAAGCCGCCGACGCCCTCGGTTTCGGATCAGTTGCGATTCCTGCGTCGCGGGGTTGCGACGGAGCTTTTGTCTCGCTGTGTTCACTTGGCCGACATCATGTTGCATGGACGGTGGCTGTCAGAAGGGTGAGCTCGTGGGTATTTGCGCCGCGGGTAGGTGAACCTCACCCGCGCGAAAGTGGACAGCCCATCGAATGCAGAGCTTCTTGCCGACATATATTTTTCGTTGAGCTCGCGAGTGTGGGATACTTGGTAAATGTCGGTCCTAATTTGCTTGTGACCGAATTTGTAGTTTCAGCTCAAATGGGCGGGCGAGACACTGGCCGACGCAAACTTCACTCAGAGTTTCCATGCTATTCGTATATCCTTGCGTCCAGCCTCCCCTGAGAAGGGTCGGAAGGCCTACCATGTGTTCATGCATAAATATAACATTTGTATATATATATATATATATATATGCACAGAGATTTATGCATGTATATATAATGTATCGTGTGCCGCTTGATAAAAGTGCACTGGCGTGTGAATATGACGCTTCAGCATACATGGTTGCTAAAGTGTGTGCAGGCGCATACGTAGAAATAGCACGATACTGAAACATGCGTACGTACAAACATGCATACAGACCTACATACAGACATACATACATGCATCCATACATACATACACACATTTAGAGACATATATATATATATAGAGAGAGAGAGAGAGAGAAACAAACAAATAGTTGGAACGCGAGAGCGAGAGAGAGAGAGAGACGAGAGAGACAGAGATAGACAGAGAGAGAGAGAGAGAAACAACAACAACTAATGAAAGAGAGAGAGGGAGAGGCATAATCTGGAGGAAAATGAAGGCGCCGATGTGACGTGCAGGAGGGCCAGTAGTAGCACCAGGGGCGGGGGAAGTTTGTTGGATTGCGGCCTTCGTGCTGGTGTGTCCTGCCTCTTTGCGGCGATGGCCCCAGGTGTTACCACCAAGACGCCTCCGAGCGCCAGCTTCGCCGCAGCGGCCAGCTCCTTAGAAGACCGTAGCCCATCGACCGTGTCCGGTGCAACCATTTTGGCAGCGGGAAGAGGACCCCCTCGTCGCCACATTTGGACTGAGGTCCGAATGTTTGTCAGGATGGAAGACGGGAGGAAGCCTGGCTCCGCTCGCGTTCAACGCCGTGGTTAGCTCCCCGTGCAATCAGATCGGTCCCGTGTCCTCCTCCTCCTCCTCCTCTTCTTCCTTCTCCTCCTCCTTCTCCTCCTCCTCCTCCTCCTCCTCCTCCTCCACCTCTTCGTCCTCACGCTCTGTGCTGTCGGGCCGCATGCGCTTGTTCCCAAAGGGCTTGTGCTGGCTTCTGAAGGGAGGAGGGTCCCAGGGTCCGATTCTGACTGGGCCTTACTACTGAAGAGTCGTCTTGTCCCGTGAGATCTCATCTTGGCCGCGATGTAATGATGCAAGGCTGGTCTTCACAGCGGGCCGTCGTGTTCCGCTGCACGCCCGTCGCGCGCATTCTTGGGCCGCCTCCGGCGGCCTATCCTGCTGTCACCGCGTCAGGATCTCCTGGAGGGTTTTTGGTGGCCCCGTGGGCCCCGTGGCGCGCACTTCGGGGCCGCCTCTCCAGACGACGACGGCCAGACTTCGTGCCTCAATCGACTGATCCAGGAACGATTCTTTCGCTGACTCCCCGACCACCCGATCTCCCCCCGGACATTCGACGTCGCGTTTCTTTATGGATTTATTTCTTAAGCTTATGATCCTGGCATCGGTCGGACGTGTGCATTTTTATTTCGGCGAGGACCATCGAGGAGCATCCTTGATCATTTGGCGAAAAAGCCACGCACGAAACTGAAAAAAGCACAGGGAATGGACGTCCGAGCGATGACGAGTGATTGAAATTAGTTGTATGATTATACAGTGCGGTTAGTTTCATTATTCTGGCCTCGATCAGTTGATCGAGGAACGATCACTTCGCTGATCCCCTGGCCACTCGATCTTTCCCCAGACCTCCGCCGTCGTGTTTTTGATCGCAGCAAGTGGCTCCCCAGAGGTCCAGGCGCCTTGCCAGTGACTGGCTGTTCGTTCCGAGCTGTTTCTCGACGTCCCTTGGGCTTAGCAAGAGCCGCCAGAGGCCGCGCATTTCCCCGGACTGTCTGCCGTGATTCCTTGGCGGCGCGAGGATGTCAGGGGCGGGGATCCGACAGCGAGGTCGCAAACTTCGAGGACAAGCAAATACGCAGGTACGGCTCCAGGGGGGGCACCTCGATCCCCACTCGCCCACTCGTCGCCGATGGGGGCCGGATGGCCCGTCCCGCGCAGGAGCGTGCGGTTTCGCTGTCGGAGCACATCGCCGATCGATGGGCGATGTATCGCCGAGTCAGGCTCGATGCCTCCTCCCTGAGCTGGTCCCCCCGTCAACGTGGCCCCTCACGGGGCGGGGGGCCGAGGGCGAAGCCGCAGTTTTTTCAACCTCGCTGCCCGTGTAAGCTTTTGTTCCGACACACACACAGGTAGAAAATCTTCGCGGTCTGCGCGTTCTCCGCCGCCCTCGACATCCTCCCCCTTTCCGCGCATGTCATCATCCTGTTTTGCCTTCTTTGGCCCCGAAGCGTCCTTCGTCACCACGGCACCTGTCTTTCGGGCGTTCTGCTTTTGTTGTCCCATGGCAGATTTTTGCTTGCGGTGTGTGCAGGTCGCCCTGCACGGCAGACTTCAGGCGTCGTTGCACCTGTCTCTGCTGAGGCCGTGGCTCTCTCCACGGCCACCTGTCACTGCAGCTGGAGCCTTGCAGGCAAAAAAAACCCGACCGCATCCTGGACCCAAATCGCCGCTGACTGTTCCAACGTCGCGATGTTTTCCCGACGCGAAGATGGCAGGGTCGGTCCCCGAGCTGGGCGGCGTCGGAGTGGCCCGCGCCTACGTACGGGGGCGGTTTCGCCGTGGGCCAGGGCGGGGACCGCGGCTCGGCCTGGGCGCGGTAAAGGGCAGCGCGGGAGGGTGGGGAGGAGGGGGATCTGAATGTGTGGCGTGTGTCCTGACATGCTCGATCTACTAATGCATATGTAGTCACATGTGCGTGTCCATCTATATATACACATATAAACCGATATGTGTATATACGAATATGGAGATACACCTACACATCGGTGTACACATGCGCATACATATATACATGTGTGCACTTACACACCTACATGCACGCGCATATACGGAATTACATACAAGCATACATACCAGCAGGCGTGTTTTCATCCATGCGTATGCGTATACATGCATGCAGACTTACAAGCATACATACATGCATACCTGAATGCACCACCAATTCATATGCACATACACACGTACGTACGTACATACACACATGCATGCATGTATACATTCACGCATATCAGACGACCATTCACACATACAAACACACATGTCTACATACATACTTACACACATCGGCACAATCGTATAGACCTGCCCGCCTACCAGTCTACTCACCGACCTACACACACATACATACATATGTGCATGCATACAAGCACGCATGTATACATACCTACATACAACTACATATACACATGTACACACATGCACACGTCCACCCATGCATGCGTACACACATACATACACAACCACATACACATATGCACACATACACACATACGTACACACATACATACGCGTACACACATACATACACACATGCATACACATACAAACATACATGCATACAGTCGTACATGCGTAAAAAAAAAGTGCCTGTATACATATAGCGAGATCGAGACGTGATTTTTATCGATTATAACTGTAAGGAACCCCCTCTTCCACAAACTCTGCCCTGGGCGTTCCCACCAACGTGAGATTCGCATGTTCGGTTCCGGGAACCATCCGGGCCATCCTACGCCGCCCGGTCGGGCCAGGATCGCTTCCCGGACGGTTCCGCGGAGCCTCGAAACTGCCCAATCCCGCCCCAGAAAGGCCCATGAGCGCTCAAAGAGGGCCCATGGCGATTTTAAGACGGTCCGAGGGGCTCCCAATACGTTTCAAGGGGGACTTCCAAGACGCAGTGGTCGTCCCAAATCCCTTAGGAAAACGCGCATGTTCAACATATTCGTTTCTTTGGTTTCCACGGCGTCCAAGACGGCTCAAAGGGGGGACCCCGCAAATCGCCCCAGGGCGGCCCAAAAACTCCCCAAAGGGCGCCAAGACGGCCCCAAAGCTCCCAAGACGGCCCAACACGGGCCCCAGAGGGCTCAAAGAGGCTCCCAAGAGAGCCCCAAGAAGGCCACAGGAGGCCTCCAAAAGAGGCAAGAGGACTCCGAGAAAGCCCCAAGCTGGCCCAATCCCCCCAAGACGGTTCAAAAGGGTCGAGGTTTAGGTCGGGCGTGTCTCTCTACAGGGGAAAATTCCCCAAACATGGTCAGGGAACTGTTTTTTCCATCAATTTTGGTTATATCTTCGTATGTTTTTTTTTATTTTCGTTCCAAATCCGCCTGTAGAAGGACATGACCGACCTAATTTCAGGTACGGCCCATGAAGGCCGCCAGACGGTCCAAAAGAGCCCCAGAAGGATCCTCACGAAGGCACTGAGAGGCCACATTCGCTAATTTTCACGAGGTTGCGCGGTATATGTTTTCAATCACATGCCGCAGTCTACACACCAAGACGCTTCCAAACCCTGGAGCGCGCGATCTCGCGCCTTCACACAGTACGAGCGGCGCAACTGGTTTTCAAGGAGGCCCCGAGACGGCCCAGGACGATGGCAAAATTGCTCACCAGACCCCGCAAGACGGGTTCATTTGGCGTTAAGAGCCGTTCGAGCCCTACGAGCCTTATGAGGCCTACGATCCATAATGCGCCCTCCTAGAGGCCCCCGAGACGCCTTTCCCCAAAGCCCTCTGAGGCCCATGAACTTTATTGGCCCATAGGCCCAAATGAGCTCCTGAACCCTACGACAGTTATGAGCCCGACGACCGTCTGAACCCTTGGAGCCTTGCGAATCCTAGGACCGTTGTCAGCGCTACGAGCCCCGAGAGTCGCATCAGCTTCATCTGCCCTATGACACATACGAGCACTCTGCCCTCTGAAAAACGTGCGCTCACGAGTCCAATGCGCCGCACGACCCAATGCTCCGCACGAGTTCATACGCCTTTTCAACCCTTACGAGCCTCATCGTCCCCATCAGCTCAGGAGCCCCACGGCCCTTCCTAACCCTGTCGCCCCATGCGACCCCTATGAGCCCAATGTGCCCTCCTAGAATCCCCCGAGACACATCTACCGTGAGCTCTGCGATCTTTTCGATTCCCACGAGCCCATGAGCCCAAAGAGTTCCTCAGCCCTGGGAGACCTACGAACCCTACGACCACATCTTCCTCTTCCCTCTCTTCCCCCTTTCTCTCTCTCCCTCTCTCTCTCTCTCTCTCGCTATTTTTCTGTGTCCTCTCTCTCTCTCTCTCTCCCCTCCGCCTGCTCTGCTTCCATGCCGTCCCACGTGGCAGCAAATCCGCCAGCCAATCGCAAAAAAACGATCCTCAGACGAGCCCAATGAGCCCGATGAAGCCTACGAGCCCTATGAGCCCTCCTACACCGTATGAGCCCCATGAGCCCCACGAACCCTGTAAGCCCTATGGGCACTACGAGCCCTATGACCCCCATGGGCCCCACGAGCCTCATTAGTCTTATGGGCCATATGAGCCCCATGAGTCCTACGTGACCTACGAGCCCGATGAGCCCCACGAGAGCCCGACACTCTCCTGTCCTCTCATTCTCCCTCCTCCTTCTCCTTCTCCTCCTCGTCCCTCCCCGTCAACCGTAGATTCCCGGCTCAAGCCGAGCCTTGGCCAAGGGACAGCGCCGAGCCGGCCATGCCTCCCCTTTGGACCCGATCGATGATTTGATCTTCACGTCGTCGTGGCAGTGACATGCCAGTGACGACGTGAACGCAGTCAGCGGCTTTATCGGCCATTGGCCACTTCTCGCGCGCGCCTCGTACTAGTGGCTCTCTCGCCACCTCCCGCGCGTGACCTGCTGGCAGAGCGTCCGTGCCAAAAATGCCCCCCTCACCTCAAACGTTTCTGGTGTCATTGCTCCCAAATGTCCAGTGGACGCGGCAGCATCAGCCCACACAAGCCCCATGGGCCAGCGGGGCCTTGCGACCACATCGACGTCCTCAGTCCTGCGAGCCCTATGACCCTATGAGCTCGGATGGCCACTATGAGCCTTCTGAGCCCTGAGGCTCCTATTAGCCTATGAGCCCCATGCGCCCTATGACCCCTCCGAACCCCATGAGCCGCATGGACCGCGCAAGCCGCATGAGCCCTACAAGCCCTATGCGTCCTATGAGCCCCCTGGGCCCAACGTCGCCTGCGATCCTATGAGACATATACGCCTCATGAGCCGTATGAGCCCGTATGAGCTTTGTAAGCCCTGTGGGCTCTGTGGGCCCGATGAGCCCTTATGAGACCAATGAGCCCGACGAGGCTTATGAGCCCTACGGGCCCTATGGGCCCTATGTCGCGTATGGGTGTCAACAGGCCCATGAGCCCGATTAGCCCTATAAGCCTCATGGGCCCCTCGGCACGTGCGGGCCCTAAGAGCCTCAAGAGCCATACGAGCCCTATGAGCCACGTCGGCATATGAGCCTCGTGACCCCGACGGCCCGTTCTGAACCTGATGGGCCTCCTGGGCCCAATTCGCACAATGGCCTTCATGAGCCCCATGAAGCTCGCAAACCTCATGAGTCATGAGGCGACCCGCTCTGTGGGGCCCAAGAGCCAGTGTGAGGCCAAGGGCCAAGGACCCTACGGGCCTCCGCGCCCAATGAGCGCATCAGCCCGAGGCACCTCCTGAACTCAAGCACGGCTGCGGGCGCTCGGAGCCTCATGATCTCCAGGAGCCGTGCTGCCCGAAGTTCTCCTCTTCCACATTCGCGCCCCGAGCTTTTTGGCCGCAGTGGCGGCAGACGGCCTTCCAGGCCTCTGACCCAGAGGAGCCCATGGGTCCCATTGGAAACTGCCGAATTGCCCCAACACACCGCGGTGCTGGCGAGTACCAGTCTCGGCGCGTCTCGATGGCGCCATGCGACCAGGATTTCAAATGGCGAAGCGAAGCAAATCGGTAACATCCCGTGTGCGTGTGTGTACATACATATATATATATATATAGATGTATAGGTGCAAATCGGTTGCGTAGACCCGACGCAGTAAGTTGATGCATTGTGGATGTACGTGCTGGGTGGTTCATGTTGTGGTGTGTACGGTATGCGATCCGGTGTACGTGGTGCATGCTCGCGAAACCTCGCAGGACCCACCCAGCGTCCGCGGCGGCAACGAGGCGGCAACGGGCGGCAACGTGGCGAAGCCTCGCGGGCATCTCTTGGGTCTTCTCGGGGGCCCCTTTGGGCTGTCTTCGGGGCCTGATTGGCCGTCGTGGGGCCCCTAATGGGCCGTCTCGGGACCTTTCTGGGAAACGGCCGGTGGAAAACCGAGGAGGGGACAGGATGGAGGCAAGGACGAGGAGACTGGCATCGTATCCAGAAGTGGGACACGCGCTGGGACCACATTGCCAATCTGAACGACGGGAGCCTGATTTGTGGTCAACGCTGCCGCAGGAACAATGTGTTGAAAGATCGAACACATTCTGGTCTGGAAACAAAAGCATCGGGTATGGCGTTGCAGCGAAAACAATACAAGAAAGAGGCGGATGCACGCGCGCGCATTGCCAACGGAGAAAGAAGTAATACCTAATATCATGCGTGCGGCTGATTATGGAGGAGGAGGAGGAGGAGGAGGATGAGGAGGAGGGGAGTAGGAGGAGGAGGAGGAGACCGAGTAGGATGAGGAGGAGGAGGAGGAGGAGGAGGACGGGGAGGAGGCGGAGGAGGAGGAGGAGCAGGAGGAGGAGGACGAGGAGGAGGATGAGGACGCCAACGACAAGATGGAGGGAGGGAGAGGGGAGAGGGGTGCAGGAGGACAGGGGGGGGGTGCGTCCGAGGCCAGCGCGCAGCCCAAGTTCGGGCTGGGCGCCAAGCCCGCCGCGGCAAGGACGAGCCGCGTGCTTCTCCCAGCCAGGAAGGGTGGAGGTTTGCAGATCTTTCTTGTCATTCTTGGGTATCTGGGGGGCTTCTCATCGCCATGGCTGGATTTACTTCGGGCAGGTGCAGGACACACTCCATGACACATCATGGGGCCGATTTTTGAGCCCGAGACTTCTCCCTCGAGTCGTAAGGTGCCCTGTACGGGCCCCAGACAAGCGAAACACCGACTCGACATTAAAAAATGGTCCCGGGGAAGGGGTCGTCGAGATTTCCAAGAATGCATGTTGCGAACAAAACATCACGACGTCGGGTGTCCGGGGAGGTAGAGAGGGAGAATGCGGGAAAGGGAGGTCAAGAGGGCGGGGTAAGGGGCAAGGCGGTGCGTGTTCGGACGGCTGTCCAGGCTTCTGGCGCGCACTTGGACTAGCAAGCCCTAGTGGACAGGGGGTGTCCCATGCACAAGGCATGCCCGTCACGCTGCACAGGATTCTCCAGGAAGCGCGCGGGTCCAGCGAAAATCAACGAGCGCGCAGCGTCGGCTTGTTGGCCGATGTGCCGCGTAGTATTGGACCCACGAAAGCGCACAGTGAGACTTGTAACGCAAAGCAGGCCAAGGAGGCGGGGCCTGTAGTGCTGAAGGAAAACGGACAGAAAAGCAGAGGGAGACAGAAAGAGAGGGAGAGAGAGAGTCATGGGAGACAGGGCAGGTAGACCAGAGTGGGGGACAGAAGAGAGAGACAGAAGGAGAGAGAGAGAGAGAGAGACAGAGACAGAGGCAGAGACGGAAAGAGAGAGAGAGAGAGAGATTCCCTTGCTCAGTATACTATCTCTGTCTCTCTCTCTCTCTCTCTTTCTCTCTCTCCCTGCCAATATATTCATATATATATATACATATATATATATATATATATATATATGTAAACCGATCTGCCTCTCTTTCTCGTCATCTTCCCCCTCGCCCACGTTCGCCTCCTCTCTCGCCTCCTCGTCCCCCACATCCCCCTCCCCCTTCTCCTCCTCCTCCTCCCCCTCCTCCTCCTCCTCCTCCTCCTCCTCCTCCTCCTCCTCCTCCTCCTCCTCCTCCTCCTCCTCCTCCTCCTCCTCCTCGCCCGTGCTCCCGCGCACCCAGCGCCCCGCTGCCTTCGGCGCACGGGCCGTCTGGAGGCCTCCCGGCCACCCAAGCGGGCCCGCTCTGCCGCCCCGCGAGCCGTGCGCTCCCGTGCAGGCCCCCGCGGGGCCCACGAGGAGCTCGGGCCCCCCCCTCGAGCCAGGAATCGGAGGCCGATCGAAGGAACCGAACTCTCTCTCTCTCTATATATATATATATATATACACCGACGCCTTGATCTGGCCTCGCACTGAATCGCTCGCACAGGGAAGCGGGTCCTGGTGTCTACGGGATCCTGGTGTATACGTTCTGCGCTATTTCCCCGGGGAAACGGGGAAAAACATATATACCACACCACCCCGACTTCGTCCCCGACCCTAAACGAATCCGGGGATTGAAGAACAGCCCGCCACTGGTAATGTATATGCTCCAGATTCCGACGATAGACCTCCTATATCCTGACACGCCGATTAGCGGATTGGCCGCTCTCGCTTCGCGAGAGGGCGTCGCGGCCGTCCATTCTGCGGCTCCAGGTCCGTCGGTTTCGGTCCTAGGCCGTCTTCACTACAGGATGGTTTGCTAGGGGGAGGCTTGTCCACCGCCGAACAAGAGCCACCCGGGCTGGCGGCGGGCCGGCCGCTGGCCGCCTCGTCCTGTTCGGCGCGCCCAGTGTTCCTGCGTCCGGGGGGTCAGGGGCAACGGTAGGGGGGATGGACAC